ATTCGCGGCGCAACTTTACACACGCCCGTAAGCTTCTCTCAAGCGCGTTGTCCGAAATTAGGTGTCGCAGTTTGTCGCTGGATGGATATAGGGAAGGCCGTTGTGTTGATGTGAGAATGAAACTTTAGCTTCTTGGAAGGCTGATGGGTTGAAAGTCTGGGGTTCATTATCCGGGCTTTTCCCACCAAAAGACCCACACAGATTAGCCACACTAGTCCCGAACGGATTCTAGATCAACCTACCTCGGTTTCATGTTGATTGATTGTCAGTCTCATCTCCAACATCTCAAAGTTCAAGGTGACAGTATGGCCGGCCTCGTTGAATATGCAAGTAGCGATGACGAGGAAGAAATACAGGAGGTGGAATCTTCTCTATCTCAGAACAAGGTAAGAAATATCCCATGACTATTCTCCACTACATAGCAACGGCTTTGTCTAATTATGACCAGCGAAGAGTGAACACTACAGATAGCAAACAGCAAGATCGAGAAGTAACGGAGAAAACCAGTACATCGGGTAAGGAAGGACCTCCTAATTCGTACTCTCCATATGCCTGCTTCTGTTTCAAGACATCTCTGACCTTGCAACTATGCAGCTTCTGAGTATAAGAGTCTGGAAGATGTTCCCATCGCACCAATTCAACAAAATGCTGCACCCTTGGGACCTTTCCTACCACCCATGGAAGGAGCTGTTGTGGATGATCAAGATCCAGCATCTAGACCTGCTTCACCATACTCGAGCAATCGTGCTCTTCTTCGTGACTTGACGTTACCATCAGCACCTAACCTAAATATTCCACCATCGCCCCCAGGATCACCACCGCCCGGCACAAACGAGAAATTCGAGAAATTCCTTGAGCTCAAGAAGAAGGGAACACACTTCAATGCAAAACTAGAGCAATCAATTGCACTCAAAAATCCCAGTTTGATGGATAAACTGATGAGATTTGTCGAAGTCGATGAGCACAGTCAGTATTCAACTACTTTAGCTACAGATTTGTGGAATCCCGCAGCGTTTCCGGAATGGGCGTTCAAGGAGAAGCTGCGGAAGAGCCACGACAAATTGCTGAAGGAGAGAGAAGCAGAGAAGACCACTGGTACCAGGACGACCGTTGAATTCGTCCCATCGTCAACCTTGGCAGGCCCGGATGCAACAGCGAGAAGTGGGCTTTTAAGAGGCGAGAAACGGAAAAGTAGTTGGAACTAAGGATGAAGGCGCTAGGTTACAACATATGATCGCAGCGATAGCTCTTTACCGAGGAACATGACCAAGATCACACTCACGAGATGGAGAGCCGGAAGTTTTCATTCAGAGACCTGCTGGATACTGGATGACTCTAATCAAAGGTATCATTATAACCGCCCGCGCCTTTGGCCAAACCACCACCTCCTGGTAGCTTTACATTAATCGACCCGACGGCCTACATCATCCACCGCCACCAGAGTTGCATAATTCATGACCCTTCGTTGCTTCCATGCACACATGGCATACAGCCCAAATACCAATGAATGTTGCAATTAATCACTCTTGCTCTCGCACTTGACCTCATAGTCGAGATCCTTCTTCAAAATGGCACCAATGTCGATTTCGACTGTTTGATTTGAACTCGCCAATGCTGCGGCGAAATAGGTAAGGTTTTCACCATGGTTGACGACCGACTTGCCTAGCAACTTGAAGGGGAGTTTGCCTGTTTTGCAGTAGGGCTCTTGCTGGACGGCGTTGAGTATAATACTCTGGTTCATGCTGGCAGTGATGTTGACGACGTTGTCACCAGGCTTGAGCACCAAGTTTGGAATCGTCAGGGTGCCGACTTCGACATCTCCAACAAAATTTGTGAAGGTAACGTTGCCCTGAATTCATGATTAGTCTGGAAAATGCATGGATTGTGAATGATAACGTACATTGTCTAGTGTGAAAACGGAAGCGTTTGGAATCGTGGTAGTGCCGTTGAAGTTGGGACCGTCTTTACCACTACCAAAGCCGATGTGGCCGTCGTTGACTTCAGTGCCAGCGAAATGGTTGAGACCCTTGAGTTCCAATGTCTTCTTGAACGTGACGCCGTACTTGCGCGTTAGACCGCTTGGCTTCACTTTCGTCTTTCCGTACACGGTGACACGGACTGTCTCATTGTTGTGGAACCAGACGTTGAAACGGGTGAACTCCTCCATGTCGGTGATTGTGACCTGCTGGCTGACGTTGACGACCTGGTGTTTGTTGCTGTTGGTCTCTGGCATCTTCACGGTAGCAAACGCTACGTGTGCTGGCCAATCCTCGAGATACATATCAGCCTCGAAAGGGTCAACCTTGGCATGGATCTTGCCATCGGTTGTGATAGAAGAATCGATTTCCATGAGATAGGCGTCACTCTCGGTGTCAAGGATTCGAACGGATTGGATTTCCAACTTGGCTTCGTTGATCTTACTTTGTGCAATCTTCGGGACAGCGACAAGAATTCTGAGGGGTAAAGTCAGTTCTGCATTGGACACTTGAAGGAGCAGCGGCTTGCAACTTACATCACGGGAACCACGATGACAACAATGACACAGAGAATGATGAGATAAACCCACCAGAAGCGTTTGCAGTGTCTGGCGCAAGTTCGCTTCTTGGACCTGGGGACAGTCCCATTCTCGGTCTGGGTGACCTCGTTCTTTTCCGACATGTTGACCTGATAATAGAAAAAGGAATGATAATTAGGGGTGTGAATGGGGTGTTGTAACAAGACAGGACAGGTCCGACGTCGTGGAAGTGAAGAAGAACAAGCCAATCTTCAACATACACCAAAAGCGCGATCAAGAGGGAACAATGGCTGAATTTAAGTATTTCCACCAGGGTTTACGGAGTAGGTACCTACTCGGTCGAACTGGCAATCTGCAAACCTTGCGGCGAAACAAGAACGGAAGTAACGACACCCACAAATAATCTATGCAGCCTTCAACCTTGGCGGGACTAGATCGCCATGATCCGAGTCCCTTTGCATCTGTACCCGGGCATTGCCTGCCCAATGAGGCAAGTGTCCGATGAGCGACACGGCGCTATTCCCCAGGTTTGCCCCGCATGGGTTGGGGGTGGAGAGGAAATGCTTCCTTCGATGAAAAGACCCCGGTCAAGCCCTCCTTCTTCGTAGGCTCCTAGTCCATTATATCCTTTGTTCCTCGGCAGCTTGTGAATCTCCTGGAAGCACCACATGTATATGGGGTCTCTATGTCTATTGTCCGACGTCGCCAAACCGCGCTGGTTAGCCCGGACGATGCCCGGCACGCCCTCCATCTCTTGCTGCATACATACACGCAGGATCGCGGATCCAGACAACAACCTTGCTCTCTTTCCATAGTTTAACAAAGCTTGTTTGTGAAAGGACCCCTCAGATGGAGGGCAAAGCATGGGCATAAACTGGGCCGATATGACATGGCACATGACACAACACATTGGATAGAAACCGAAGCCTCCTTGAACCCTGCCGCCGCTTTAAACACTGCATTTTTGAACCGTCTGGTGGCAAGGTCTACATACAATACTTTTGATTAACAAGTCTTGCAGAGCCGTCCCTAATTGATTGAGGATTTACATGGCAGAGGTCGTTGACGTTGAGGAGTCATCAATCACAGTCGTCTTTTTCTTGCTCTGCTGCCAACTGACAGATGAGCTCATAAAGTCAAAAAAAGAAAATCTACGAAACGAATGTGCCGAACGAAGAGAAGAGGACTTTGCACGCGACGGGCATAGAATTGAGTTGCTAATTAAAACCGACGAATCACGAAACAAGAAGCCTGTGCCCTCCCTTCATAATTCGACGATCAACATCAAGCAGCAAGCAGACTAAGCCCAACTGGTCGAACGAGAATTGGAACGCTGGTCCAACGGGAATTCTTCATCATTGACAGTTGGGATTGTCTGTCATATCGATGATGGGTCGTAACACCCCTCGTCCTTGATTGCACCAAGTATTTAAAGTTGTTCAGTGGCTTGTCATGACAACCAACCAATTTATTCTGATTGACATGAATGACACATGCCACGTTAGAAAGCGGCACCTGAGCTTCGGAGTGGCTCCAAGAGAAGCAAGCGGCGCAGAGGGGTTCAGCTCAGTTATCCATGTGCCCTCTGGAAGGGCCGGCTGTGACACACCATCTCGGCCGGGCATCCTCTCATGGTATGGTTGGTTTCCAAGTTTTCTAAGTCAAGGGTGTGATTTGATTTGATGGCCCTTGTCCCTGCATTGTCGCCACAAATTTTCTCTGGTTTGCCTTTTGTGAAATCTATGTATTTATTATTTCCGCCATGACTGCAGCGCAAGATGAATTGATCAGCAGAGAACTGATCGGTGCTTGTCTCTGCAGAGAATTGTGTTTTCCACATGGTATGTTCTTCCCAAAACACCTCACAAACTCTGGTTTGATACTCATGCGATCAGGCATTGCCAGGAACCCTTGAAACCAATTCCAACTGCGCCGCATGATGCCTCCTCGGCAAAGCTAACAAATACGGCCAGCCCTTTGTCCAGTATCGTATCATTCTCCTCATTTCCCCTCCATTACTCAATTTTAGCTTTCAGATCTTATTGCTTTTACCTCCGAAGCGGAACACCCCCCCCCTGCAAGGCTCATCAGAATAGATAGTGAAATCAAAACTTAAGCATTTTTATCTTGAACTACTATTGTAAAATATCCACTGGCAGTGGAAACATCCCAGTTTCTTACTGAAACCCGTCATTTAGAATGATGCTTTCGAAATGTATTAGTACTGTGGAAAAGTTTTGAGAGAGTTCCATTCGAGAGATTCTGATGCCTCACTTTTCCCTAGTCCGCGATGTCACCCAGAGGCAACGGTGTTGGCCAGCCCACCACATTACCAGAGCCGTCTTCCCCGAGAGCTCCCGCTGTTGCCGCTTCGATTAAGGAAGCAGGGCTCCCTGGTAATTGCAGTGGAGACTAAATGAAATCTAGTATCCAAGCCGAGGCTGCATCTGGCATATGAAGATATCGTCTGCGGTTGCTTCATACTTTACAGTTTAGACTTTGTCCACAGGCCTTGACGGTCCAGCCCTGAATCTCCATCGTAGATATCTCGTTCCACCTGTCGAGCATTGACCTGCCAAGCGAGTTAGTCGAGATCGCCAACCATGGGGAATGGAATCTGGGGAAAAGATGGGGAAATCTTACGAATTTAGGACCGAGCTCCGAGATATTCTTGGCTCCGAGTAATCGCATACATGTTGCTGTCTCTGCCTCGAGGACTATTTTGCATGTGTTAGCCGGCGTTCGGGCATTCTCAAAATCACAGGCTCAGCTTACTCTCGAGTGTTCTCTCGACGCCGGCTTGGCCACCAGCGCCAAGTCCAAAAAGAGCACCTCGTCCAATACCGACTCCGCTGGCTCCCAGACACAATGCTTTCACAACATCTGTTCCTCGCTTGATGCCTCCATCAACCCATATCTGGACCTTGCTCAGAACCTCAGGGCAGTACTTGCGGATTTCGAGAAGTGTGTGTATAGCGGGAGGGGCTGTGTCGACAGCACGACCGCCATGGTTCGATAAGATGATGGCCTTTACTTGAGGAGCATACTTTGCTGCGAGATAAGCGTCCTCATGAGTCTGCAGACCCTTGAGAACGATGGGTAGATCTGTGTGAGCAGCTAGCCAGGGAAGAGTTGTCTTCCAAGTCAAGTCGGCCGCTGTGCCAAAAAACAGCTGTTGACCAACACCTCCAGCACCGGGCTTGCTCTCACCACTGGCAGGGCTGGGTTCAGAGTAATCAAAGTTTTGCTTCTCATCCAGCTCGCGTTTACCAGGAACAGGCGCATCAAGGGTCAGGCAGATAAATTTGTAGTACTCTCGCATAGAGTTGATGCGCTTGAGCATCGCCTCGCTTTTCTCTCGCTGGTTCTGGACGTAGAGTTGCCAACCAAAGGTCTGGCCTGGCTTTGCGCCCTCGATGATTTGCTCAGGAGTCATCGACGCGTTGTTCGACACAATCTGCATGGCCCCGAATCGAGAGCATGCCTTGGCGATGCCTTGTTCTCCATCGGGATGAGCCAGGCGGGCCATAGCAGCAGGGGCGACAAATATTGGTAGCCCGACTCTGTTGCCAATCAATGTGGTTGAAAGATCGCAAGCTGTACAATCAACAAATACACGTGGCCTAAGAAGTATATTTTTATAGACATGGTTGTTGTATGTTTTTGAAAATAGATCGTCGGCGGCTGAGAAGTAATATGCCCAAGCCTTTTTCGAAATGCGCTTGGTAGCCTCCTCCTCGATCTCATCGAGATTCATGAGTGATGCCATTGGTGGCGACTGGTTATCTCGGGACTGTGTGGTGGTGTTTTCGCTGGTCGATTGGGAGTCGGTGAGTGTTTCGGGATTCACTTCACCGAGGATATTCTCGGGCTTGAGGTTCTCCTCGAGGGTTCCCGGTGGGTGAACGGGATCATATTCATCGGTGGCATCTTTCCCCGCGAGCTTCAGGATGATCTTCTTACCACCGGGATGCGATGGAAGAAACTCAGTCACGTCGTAGACTTTGCCATAAAGAATGACCCAGCAACTCTCTGGGGTGTTGTGTTTGGCCACTATCGCGAGTATGTCAGTTATTGCGCCTTCTGTAAACATTGTTAAGCTCCAATCGGCGCTGTTCATACCTTCAGCCGCGTCGAAAACCTTGGCCATGCTGTATATGAGTTGAGTCAATTGAGTTGCAGGAGGAAAGATGTGGCGCGAGACGGTCTATTAAAACGTCGAGACCAGTTTGACTGATCTACACACTCGGCAGATACTGTCCCGCCTCCAATTGGGTTCTCAGAATTGGGGGTTTCCTTGGGGGTGGTTTGTGGGAGGTACGGAGTAGAAGTTATGACAATGTAAATGAAACGAGAATGTGACTAAAGGCCCAAGAGAAATAAATGAGTCGGCTTCGTATCGCAAGGGCGCTTTCATGAGCAAGTATTCAATTTACATGGAGATATTCATTCTTCAGTCCCATCATGGCGCGCATTACCAGGCTGTGTACAATTACGTTATCCGCCATTGGGTCGGACTGGATCCCGATCATGACCGGCGACCGTGGCCGAAAAAATGGGTAGGCAACGGCGTATTGGGTGTACAGGGACTTATGATGGGGCACCCAACACATTGGTTTCAGTGATGAGAGCCCCCTAAAGGCCATCATGACAACCCAGCGCCACAAATCTAGCCGCATGCGCGCTACAACCGATGAGGTCAATTTTGCGCTAACGATTTATTACGACATCCATCCGAAAAGCGCCTTCCAAAGCTGTACTTGCCAGGAACGACCATCTTGATTTTTATCAGTAAAATTTCCTGTCTCAGATATTCACTTCAGTGAATTCCTACACAACTTCTTTCTCTATACGTTCGTTCTTCAATGCCCTAAAGTATGCGACTCTCTGTTTCTTCTCCCGCTGTGCGCGATGTTTCTCGGCTTTGTGTCCGGTGTCAACTCCGAGCTCGCCGAGCTTCAACTCTTGTGCCATCGCATCGACCATCTGTCACGGCGAAGCCCACACGACATCATGTAGCTCTCGCAGTGGCTGTTCGGGGCCCAGTTGTGAATAGAGCTCATGCCCGCGCCGTATCTAGTGCCGCGCAGCCTGAGCAAGAACCGGTCTCGTCCAGCGCACCACCCTCGACACACTATGACCTGTTCCCCGAGACGCTTCCCGATGGTCCTCCTCCGGCAGGACACTTTCCTATTGATACTCGCGCTTTGCGCCGTGAGTTTCTCCGTCTGCAAGCTCGGGCTCATCCGGATATGCATCCTACTCAGGACAAAGCTCGTGCCGAGGCCATGTCAGCACGCATAAATGAAGCTTATAAGACGCTTTCTAACCCTCTTCTTCGAGCACAATATCTACTCTCTCTTCGAGGTGTCGACGTCGCCAACGACGAGACTCTCAAGGTAGAAGAGCCAGAACTATTGATGCTTGTGCTTGAGGCACGCGAGGAGATTGAGGATGCCGAGCACGAAGAGGATCTAGACGAACCTCGTGCCGCAAACGATGCACGGATTGTGGAGAGCGAACAGGTGCTCGAGCGCGCATTTCAGCATGATGATATCGAGGCTGCGAAACACGAGGCTGTGCGTCTGCGCTATTGGGTCAATATCAAGGAAAGTTTGGATAACTGGGAGAGGGGCCATCATGTCGTGTTACAGCATTAAATAGACAGAAACGAAAAACTCACGGTGGCATTGCTTAGGTACCACCTAGCTTCTTGATATGATCAGATGAATATGTGACCAGACTTGTTCGATGTATCATGAGCGCTGCTTTGAAGATACTTGCATGCTTTCAATTGCCAATAGCATCTTACAATGAAAGCGGATTCAGGCCTGGAGGTATCTCTTGGAGTTGCGTATCAAGCAAGCTTTTTGCATTCGACTATGCAGCGGATTGCTTTTCATCAATCTTAGATGAGCGATAATCTTGAAGGCGAGTTGACTGGCACTCATTTCACGGTACTTGTGTGACCTTTGTATATCATTAAGGTATTTGAATATCTCCCCAAGGTACCTTTAGTGAGATGGTAGATCGCGATTTTCTACTGAATTCAATGACCGGAAGTTTATACAAGAAATAACTTTAGCTCAAAGCGAATCTTCATCCTCAATAGTAATTATTGTTATTTGTTGGTACAGGTAGTAACAACTTTGTCATGATTTGACTTTCATCATATATCCAAACGCTAAGGGTTCCCACTTATGCGCCAGCAAATTATATAGTATACCCATCATATCCCAGACACTCATACGCCTATGCAATACACACTCCTCCACGTACACCAGCTTATCTTTGGTAGGCTGGCAGCTGCTCTCCATCGACGTGCCTCGAAGTCCCAGAAGGTCCCGCACTAGTTCCGTAACCTGGAAAATCATCATAATCATCTACCACTGGGGCACTTGGTGCGCTTGCTTCCGCATCAGCTTCCACCTCCCTCGATGGGCCTTCGTCTGCTCGTCGTTGCATATCCTCGGGAACGTCTGGCGGTGCACTGGCTTCATTCAAGAGCCGTTGACGTTCGAGTTCTTGTTTGTCTTCAACAACCCCTGGGAGAAGCACTGTTGGCAAGTCAACGTCGTCTTCCAAAGGGGCCGAAGGTCCCGCATCGGGGGCACTTGGAGCGTTTGGAGCATTTGGAACAAAGCCACCACCGAGATCAGGGACCCGGGGCGTATCCTCTGCATCGTATATATCTTCGTCATCGTGACTTGTTGACGGGCCCGCTTCTGGTGGCTGACTTGGTAGAAGTCGTGTTTCTGCTTGCCTAATCCTCTCCTTCTCGGAAAGGTTGTTCTGGTTGAGTATTTCAGGAGGTGGGATATATGAAGGCGCGGCAGGAGAGGGAACAAGGCCGCTTGAATTTGACCCAGCAACGTCTCGAGGCCGGAGCGACGGGTGTTGCACCGGGACCACTTGTGAATATGGCTGTGGAGGATGAGAAGGGATCGTTGGAAGTCGGCTCCCATTGGCCTGTGATGGAAAATAACCTCCAGGGGAGAGTGGCGTGCTGTTCGAGTATGGCTCAAGGGGAGGATCGTTAGCATAATTTGGTTCTTGGCCTATCACCTCTTCTTCATCGCTTTCAAGAATCTGTACGCTTCGCGAAGTGGGCGAAGCTCTCGACTTTTTCTTCCCGCGAGATGAATCAGTTGTGCCAACGACTGTTTCCATCGACAACGCGATAACGCCCTTTTCATGGCGCATCTGAGAAGTGTCTGCGATATTAGCACCTCTTCTTGGCCCATAAGTATGATTGTCTGCACTTCCATGGCCATAAGGTGCGAATCTGGCAGGGCCAGTTTGCATTTGATTTGACAGTCTCCCGCCGAGGTCAACAACTACCTCAACCACATACTTGAAGCTGATCATCTCTCCAGGTACACCTTTGATACTCGGAAAGGAGTCGTCAGGTAGCTTAACGGTCACAGTGACCGACGTTTGCATGGTGTTAGGGTCAATGATTAGTGGTGCTATGTTCTGGTCAAGATCCTTACGGAATATGCTTGTAGAACTTGAAGATGTCAACGAAAGACCACCCAAACCGGTCCGAGATCGCGGAAACACATCCTCCTTATCAATGCGAGCCACATCATCACGACTTAAACTCTCGTCAAACAGAGCACTCGGTGGGTTGCTGTCGATTTTGCCTTGTCTGAGGAGTGTTACAATCACACCAGTCATGCTCTTCACCCGTTTAGTATGTTGAACCGTGACCCGCACGGAGACAGCATCACCCGGCAAGCAACCGCCCTTCAGCAGCTCGACTGTCGCGGTAATCGTCTTTTTATCAACTGCTTGTTGCTTGGCCGATGTGAGTGTCCCGACCTGGGACAGCGCGGCTTCCGGCCTGCTCAAGCTTGTGCTGTTGCTGACGCCACTTTCGCCGCTGATTTCGCTTCGCATATCGCTTTGTATTGGGCTTCTCGGATTCGCCACCTGCTCACGAAGATCTTCCGTTGGTGTTTCTAAAGGATCTTGTTCCGAATTGAGCTCGTTGATCTCAGAGGGAGCTGCAGTTGATTTGTCCATCACCATGGACTTTCTCCTACGATTTCGTTTCGATATCGGTTCTAAGAAGATAGTGCGCGGCCGAGGGATGGGCAGCAGTCCAACATCCACATTCTCTACTAACATAACTTTTCGCTCGCATGATGATGTTGGGGCAATCGATGTTGGTCGAGTCAGCGTGGCAGTTACCATATATGAAACGGTCCCTCGCTCGAACTGTATAGTAAATTAGTGATAAGGGAATGATTGAGGATAGCAGCAAACCTACGTCAATACTGCTTGGAAGCCCTTTGTCAGGAAACAGCAGGTCGAAGCCAAACTCGTATCTGCCAGGTTCCAGCCTCCCCTCGCCGCTTAATACCTGCTCGTCTTGGAAAAGGCTTGCGAGACCATTGCCGTGATATCGTGGGCGCGCCGAGTCCCCATTCTGCGGTAGTACGATACTTCCTTGCGCTTTTGCGACCGAAGTCGGGTCCTTTAGGACACGGACATATCCGTGTAGCGAAACGGTCAAATGAGTAATGCGAACAGGCTTTACGACGACTATGACGACAGCACCACGGACATTGTCGCCAGCACTGTATCGACGGTGTGGTTCCTCAGCACGAATATGAAAGTCGGTAATATTGCGATTCCGATTGCGTAAAGGGAGCGAGAGAGGGAGGCTCAGTCGCGAAAGAAACCTTGGGCGCGTAGAAGAGGTGGTAGATGCGGTGGGGGAGGTAGCCCGCGGGGCGGCAGAGGTCGCCGAGCCAGCAGACTCGGCGGGAGAAGATATCTCGAGGTTCGTAGGCGTATTTGGAACGTTAGAGTTCGCAGGGCCAGGCGTTCCTGTGGGATTGGAGAGCGAGGGAGAAGATTTTGACCGGCGGCCCATTCCCAGACGTGGTGCCCAAGGCATAAGAAGGACCAGGATCCGAGGTCGAGAGCGACGTCGAGCTCAAGAAACCGACGTCGCAATCCTTGGAGCGAGAGCTCGCAGCCTCTTGCTCTGGATTGATTTTAAAGTCGTATCGGGAAGCCGTTGAATTAGGTATATGTATGCGGCGGGTACGAACGTTGAAGCAGAGGCGTTTCAATCTGTGGGCGCGTCGGCGGCGGTTGCGGCTGCGTGTTCTAAGCCTGCAGGAGGGGTACAAGAGG